ACTCATGATTATATCATTAAAGCTGAGGCTTCATTCCTTTACCTAGAATTATCTATAAAAGGAAGAAGTATCATCATTTGTAAGGACACGGAATACTATTGAGAATTTATTAAAATATACATCTATTTGATCCTTTACCATTGTTCTCAAAAGTATTTTATTTTTGTCTCCTGATTATCAGTAACCCGAATTTCTTTTTAGCTTTGACCAAAGACTCAGATTTTTGGTTAAACACAAATATGGACAGAAGTGAGAATTCACATTTCAATGTTCACATATTTGACCTCACTGCTATTGAGATTAATTATCCATATAGAAGTCAAGGTAATGCTAAATTAAATGCCATTAGTCAGGGTCTATCTTACGGAAAGGACAAAATAGTTGTGTTAGCAAAGATAAGGATGGTGTGAGCTCTGTTGAAATTTTGGTTGTGATTCAGTGTGGGAGTGCTGTTGCTAGGTTTACTTTCTGGCAATCCAATTCATTGATGTTGACTGCAATAATAACCAATTTCCATGGGCAGCAGCAGTTCCCTTATTATACTGAAAATCTGCGTGGACAAGCTGTTGTCAAGGACAAGAAGAAGCAATTTTGTCCACTTAAGTGGGAGCATTACTCCAACCGTGGTTTCATAAATGGTGTTTGTGAGACTTTAGGCGATTGGGACTACCCTGTTGCATTTGTTATGGAACTTGAGAGAACAACGACTTGGATATCCTGTCCCATCCTTGAATCTATTTGGTCGCAGTCTCTCATTCTCTGTATGCAGTTTGGTGATGCGAAAACAATCTAAAATAGCATGTGTTTCACGACAAATAGTGTTTAAAGTAGGGCGACTAGTGTGGTTGTAATTTGTGAAGAAATGAGAAACCGCAACGCTAATGTTGCTATGAACTATGTTTGATACAGCGCAGTGTTTTCAATCCAGCTAAAGTGACAAGATTATTGTAGGGGAATTTCAGGTAGCTGGTCAGGCGCACTTTCAATTGGGGCCTCGTGGCAATTTTATACAGACAATAGATGCTATCAGTAAGGTGCACAAGTTCTCTTCCCTGGCCCCTCAGTAACACTAGAAGTATGTGCCTCATGTTCTTGGTCTTCCAATTGTCAAATATAGTATGCAAGACCAAGAGAATAGGTGGTGTTTCTGGAGGCGACAAGGTTGGATTAGCTTTCTTTGTTGCTGCAACTGCTATTCCCTCGTACCAGATCGATCGCTCAGTGAAAATTATACTAGAACAGGAAATTGACATAATAACCACTGGATATCAACGAAGCTTTCTTGAAAAATACATGCTGGAAGAGCAGTTGTTCAAAGCTAGTTATATACCAAGCGAAGGAGATGATGCGGCTTTTCTTCTGAGCAAATCTCATGAAGTTTCATGTTTCTGCTAATCAAAAGGATGTTCGCCAAATTTTTAAAGGTGTGGCACTTGTGTTCGATATGAGCTTTTAATGGAATCTCCCAGTTGTGATACCATCTACGGTAGAGAGTAACATCGTCGTTAAGGGAATCTAATGGAGCTTTATCTTTGCCCCAAAGCTCCACAATAGCTAGTTGTTATTAGTGCTAGCTACATAAGTCTTGACATGGGATCGGTCTGGTGTTGTTGTGGCTCAGAGATGACCTTGGATGAATTTGCACATGCTATTTTTGATATGATACTTGATGATATGATCCTCGATGATGTTGGTGCACTTCTTGGATTGACGAATGAGACATGGTCGATATTAGGTATTTATATGTTTATTCATAACTTATGTTTTGTTGGGGTGTTCTTTGAGCAATATAATGTATCTGGCCAGGTTGATTTCCCTCCATCATTGACTATGTAAGTCAAGTTGCTCATGATGCTATAAGTGAATATGGGTCCCGTTAAAATACTCGAAACTATTTTCAAATCACTGAGACACTGGATCAACAAAAGATTATTTCATTACCATGACAATTTGAGTTGAGGTATCACGCCTCGAATCTAGGCTTGGATGTAACACGATGCCCGGTGCCTAACTACATGTGACCTAGCAAACCAAGTAGCTGGCTGAATCAACATGTGATATCATAACATACTAAATGCGAAATATAAACCAGCACATGCAGATACACTGAAAGTTTGAATGATATAAGTCAAGTGCGAAAACACTAATACAATTCTGAAACATTTCTGTAGCCAACATTGCTTAACATGAAAAACTCGCGACTCTGTCTAACTGGGACTCTAGCCTATGAAGCCTCTAATGACGTACTGAAAACACTGCATGTTTGTAAATAATGAAACACTGTAAAATAATGATAATGCCCTGAAAGAATTGGGGCTCACCAATAGGGGTACGAGAATCCTAGCGCTCTGAATCGCCAACCTATAAATCATTACATGCATCGTGAGATGCAAGCCCCGGGTGAAAGGGACATCAGTACATTTGAATTGCACTAGTATGTAAAGCAACTAAAAGAAAGAACGGTAAATACTGAAACTGAAACTGAACTGATAACTGATAAATGAACAAGGAAGTAAGGATATAATACTCCCTCTTCTGAGTGATGAACCGCCTGTTTATGTGAATAAATAAACTACGGCCTCAGGTCCAATATATATCTACATAAGCTATGACCTGGGGCCCAATTATATGTATACATAATTGCGGCTTCAGGACCAAAGATGCAGAAAGCATAAACTATGGCCCTAAGCCCAAACATGCATAAAGTATAAACTATGGCCTCATGCCCAAATACAAGTGTCCAACATTCAAGGATTTAAAATTAGGGATTGAGAATCATACTACGATACATGATACTGAAATAGTGAACCATACTCAGTTACATGATACTAGAATGCTGAATAGAACTAGAATGAGACATGTATTCACGAACGGATTACGAGAATTGAAGCTTCAACTGTTTATGGAGTGCTGAGTAATCTAGACTGAGACTCACGGGCGTCAATCATAAGTCTATATTGATTACGCATTGAGCTGACAATGTTTGGAATGAAAGTCATGAATGAATTATGAAGAAAGAGAATAGAAGTTCTGCAACTATTCAAGGAACTAAGCTTAATTACATTTTAGAGGCAATTAGTAACGTTATAAAAGAAACATAGTGTAGGAAGAATCATTAATATTCCCAAACATATATAGTTAACCTCGCATACCTTGAATCTGTCCTTTTGAGCATATCACAATGTTCGTCGCCTCTTTCAACGATAATCTATGTCAATATATATCAAGAGGAACCAATATTCGCACTAATGCTCATGTTTTAGTCACCGAGGCATTGTATCAAACACCTTATGGTGTAAAGCTTCATTGCCCTTGTTAATGGTGTTTTCTTAACCCAATTCTTATTCTACTACTTCTAGGTGATTCTACAATTCCAAATAGATGTAACTAACACAATTTCTCATCGCCCAAATGTTTACATCAATCTTAAGTCATATGATTCTTTTTATCACCCCTATTTACTATTCTCCCAAGAACTCATCAATTTACAACTATAAATGATTAGGGAGTAAAAACATTATCTTTTTGAAGTTTGATCCTCTTGAGGAAGAAATAAAAGTGGCTCGGATAAACATCGTCGGCGCGGGACATCATCATAGGCGCCAAAATAACAGTGCAAGACGCCATCATAGGCACCAAAACTACACGGCCTTACATTGTTAGGTGCGCTAAAGTTAGTGCTCTAATGCACTGTCTAAGGCTGTGAGTTTTCATGGCATTGCATTATCTAAGGCTGAAAGGCAAACCTTCCATAAACTTAGTTGGTTCTAGAGGTGGCAAAATGGTTCAAAGAAAACAGTTAATCACCCATATTATCCACTAAAAAATGGGTTGAATAATGAACTTTTTAGAAGCGGGTCAAATATGGATAAGAACCATATTATCCATTTAGAAAATGGATAACCAATGAGTATCCAATGGATAACCAATGAGTCTAACTTTTATATTTGTGAAGCCTCAAATTGGGGGTTCCTCAAGTTAGGGAGACTAAGAATTCTCCCAAAAGTGATCATATACAAGAAGTCATGGATCCGCCGGTTAACCCGTTTTTTTATCCGTATTAAATATGGGTCGGGTCGGATAATTGATCCGTTTTTTCATTACTCGTTTTTTACCCGAACCATATATATCTGACCCGACCCGCCCGTTTGTCACTCCTAGTTAGTTCTATCGAATCTTATGCACCTCACTCTCCGTCTTGATTCCAAAACAACTATTTCCACCCATACTCATCCCCATAGGACTTCACTTGTCTAAAATGTCACTTTGTATATATGCAGGAAAAATTAAAGAAGCACAAATCATCAGGACAGATATTTAGCAATATCACTTGTAGGTGTAACGTCATTATTTTTAACGTCAAGTAAAACCTCTTTTCTTGCCATATTGAGTGCAGAATCATCCGAGCTTCTCAAGAATGTGTACGCTTGGCTATGAATAAAAGAGAGGAGGAATTTGAAGCACTGTACAGGCAGCGCTCCTTGATCTTACAGCATTTTTGCACAAGTATAAAAAGCTGCTATACATTTTGCTGGTGTAAGACATCTTAACTGCTCAAAGTCCCAACTTCACTAGTTTTAAATATACTTGCTTATGATAAATGAGATAGCTGCTAATCTATTTTGCTGTCCAAGTTCTCTTTTGTATAAACTGAAACTATATATATTGCCGATACCTTTGTCTCAATGTTTCGGTTATTGTTTTTGCAACTATATATATTGCCTTGTGGTCAGAGTTATGTTATATTTTTTCTGCAAGAAAATGAACCCGTAGTGCTATATAAAAAATAAACAATTCAATAGTGTAAATTTACTGAATTCTACTTTGGAGCATATTTAGTTTAGTAAATACAAAAAATGCACTCATAAACAACTGTGCAAAATAAATAAAATTGCAAAGTAAGGAGCAAGGACTGAGCTTACTCTCTACATTACTAATTAATGAATAGATAAACACCAAAAGAAAAGAAAGGCAAAAAATCCAGGGAATCATTCTTTGCTTCAATCATGAGGAGGGAAAGGAGTTGGCTCAATCCAAATGGAGGATTTTGGTTGGCCCATGAATTTGTAATAATTTGAACTTGAGAAAGCTCCATTGACAGTGTAATCGAAAGAGTAATATTTGCGACTAGCCAAACAATAGAAAACGCCCCTGTTGTTATCATGTAATACGGGAAAATATATCTTGTTTCCTAACCCCCGTGAAATGCAAGGTTTCAAGTAGGAAGCTCCAAAGCTCACAAAGAGTGTTTTATTATTCAAACTTGTTATTTGTTTCCTCTCCAAGACTCCTCCATTCATGTTGTACCTCCAAACCTCGACTTTTCCTTCTTCATGAATGAGAAATACAGCTAATATTCCTCCATTATCAACCTCTTCTGCTATGTAAATCTGGGATAATGACCTTCTTTTTCAACGCAGCAAGGACTTTCCATAAAATTCCCAAGTAGGTGTCTCTAAAGCTGAGATTTCCTTGATACTTAGTATTCCCAGATTTCCATTATCACCCAATACCCATATAGTATTGTTTTTGAAAAATATAGGATTAGTGCACCCGAATAACATAAACGATCTTGGATTATTTATATATCTATGATACGTCCATCTACTCTCTCCAACTTTGATGATGCATACCTGGTTGGAAAATATATCAAAACCAACGACAAAACAAAAACAATCCGATGATGAGTCTGGGGGACACGAAAATGTCCAAGCAGAGAAAGCATTATCTGTCTCCTCTAGTAGATCAGGGAGTTCAATTATTTCATTGCTTTTGGTATTGAAAAAGAACATGCCACGGTTGTCATGACTCATGATGAGCAACCAGTTAGCTTTTGAGCTCCGAATTCGGGAACCCCTTAATTTTGGGATATCCATCTTGTGAGTTATGGCATTGTACACTGATTCAAAGAATTCTACAATGTCGGTTTCTGCATTTAATCTCATCAAATAAGGCCACAGGGAATCATATACCGGAGGTGGGAGTGGAGGCAACAGGGACGGGTAACGCCATCTTTTACAAACAGCACGGAAAGCAATATAATCGCCAGCGATGAGACGTGATGATATTGATGTGAGTATGTCTGTTGGAACACCATCAGACCACAATTCATGTTAGAAAATAATAAACAATATTGGCTTTGAGGCGTGAAAATCGATTGTCCTTAAAGAGTTATCGTCTGTATACTAATTTAGGGAAAATACAAAACGATTCTCTTTAGGATACAACAAAGCCTACAATAACACTTGTGATTTTCTATCTCATTTCGTTGTAATTCTTGTGTATTTATAGGCAACCAACAGACCTTTTCAGAAAAGATGTCTTGTTTCACAAACAGACATGACTATTTATTCGAATTTTGAATTTAAAATTCAAATAAATTTGATTTTTCTGTTAAAAAATAATTAACTTTAGGATCTCGTGCCTGTTGAGTCAATTTCGTGCCTGTTGAGTCAGTCTCGTGCCTGTTGAGACAATCTCGTGCCTGTTGAGATAATCTCGTGCATGTTATGTGCTATTTCATAATGATCAGTTCCGAGGCTAACAGGTACGGTACGAGTAAGGTCGGTCCCGGGAGTGTTTCACATGACAGGCACGGAACTTCTTTCTTCCGATGTGGGAAGAATCCCACTTCCAACTTGCCAATAACAAACTATCTTACAATCCCCCACTAGTTTGTTATTTCACTTCATAACACTTGTGAATAATTGAAAGTATCTTTTACAGATTTGAACTTTCCTTTAGTGTAAGTATATTAAAGTTTTGACGAAGTTAATGGTATCTTAAGATTTGAACCACAAATCCTTGTGCCAAAACCGAAAATACCACACACACAGCGTTATCTAGTAGCTTAGAAAATCCAGTATTCGCTTTAGCACGTTTACGGCCATGTGCTCATCCTGAATTCATGAATATTTACAAGATCAACCCTTTAAATCTTGCTAGAAGCGGCACCACTTCAATATTCATATAGGTGGAATTAGTTACTATGTCCCTGTTACTCCCGATATTAATAATTCCATTAAGATTAATCAACCTCTTCATGTAAAGTATGCACTTTGGAGTTTGTCTTTATGCCCCTGTTATAACAAGCATTTAACAACTCCTTAACTCCTCACATAACAGTAAGTAGTACAATAGAATTAGGGCTCTTAAAGAGGAGATCAGTGCTTAAACAATACAAGTAACTTGTTATTACCAATTGAACTTATATTGTTAGAGTGTATACTAACTCAAAGTTNCCTATAGGTTTTGATCCAAGAGGAAGATCAACCAAAACCCAAGTGTCGTTGGATATAATTGAGTCCATTTCATCATTAATGGCCTCTTTCCAAAAGGCAGTGTTTCTAGAAGACATTGCTTCTTGAAACGTCTTTGGGTCTTCTTCAACATTTAATACAATAGGAAT